GTGTTTGTCTACAGTGGTTTGCAGGAGGAGGGAATTATGCACCATCATCCACATCTGAATGAGCCCATTCCTCTTGGTGGGCTAGGTGGCAGGGGGAGGCGGGGCATGCCAAACAGCAAGCCACTGTTCGAAAAAACATTCCAAAAACATTCATAAAATAATTCACACTACACCACCAAAAGCCACAGTACTTGGGCAGGCAACAGGAGGGTTCCAATGGGAAACTGGTTTTGGGGAGGGGGACATTACACACCGTCACTCACATCTGAATGAGCACCCACCCCATTCCTCTTGATGGGCTAGGCAGGGCAGAGTGGGGGGGGGAGAAAGATGAACAGCAAACTGCTGTTTGAGAAAAACATTCCAAAAACATTTATAAAAAAAAATATTCACAACACAGCTACAAAAAGCTGTATGTGCACTACAGAAACAGATGGTGCACCTGGCCCAGGAACTGGAAGCTTTTCCATTGGAAACTGTAAAGAAGATCAATGAGGTCAGGAATGCTGGGAAATGTATGCCAAAAAGAACCGGGGAAAAAAAAAAAAGACAGAAGACCACCAACATATATATATAGGCAGCAACTGCCTATCAACTGGGCAGCAACAGACACCCACCCACCCACTACTCTTACGATAGGCAGTTATTAAGCTGCTATATTCATGAAAAATTCCATGGTGGAATGGAAAGGGAAAAGGAAAGGAACGAACGGGAGGGAAGGATTCACTCGTGCAGCTTGTCTTTTGGGACCGGGACAGGCTCCTTCCGATTGTGTACTGATGGAGAGAGATACCAGACTGAATGAGTATAGGTGGGTGCAAGTGACAAGGATTTTGGGGTGACCATGACTGTGACCAGAGGAGACTGTCAGAGAGTTAGGACTGCCCAATGACAGTCCAGACCCAGGGTGTGCCTCCTGGTGTAATGCATTAGGATTTTAAACTTCATTGCAGAACTACAAGGAAGTTTTTTTACCTCCCTGCCAGCCATCTAACACCTCCAGGGAAGGAATTTTACCTGATCAACACATCAAAGATCTACTCAACACAGCTCACAAAGACACACATGGACCCAGAGGGACAGACTTCCATCTTCAGCTCCCTCTGTGCAAAAATGAAGTTTATTTCCTACCTATGGGGACTTTTTACCATCTTGTACCATCTACATTTTCCCCAGAGCCTGACAAAGGGACTTTGATCCCGAAAGCTTGCAGAAAAGGACAATTTTCTTGCCATTTTCCAGTTGGTCTAATAAAACGTATCATTTTGGAACCAAGAGTTCTAGTTTTTTGTATGCATTAGGAAAGACATTCTAGGGGGTAAATTGGTATTTGACTCCCTCTACTGATATCTACGGGGAATGACACACAGGAGCTTAACTCGCTCGAAAGTGTCATGCACGCAAACATGAAAGCTGTGTTGTGCAAACAGAACTGCACTACACCAAAAAAAAAAAAAAAAAGCTACATTTAAATTCTGTGGCAGTCCATATTAAATTCTGTTTCATGTACAGACAGCCAATGTTACCAGATAACATACATAAATTACTGGTACAATGGCAAGGTCCCTTTCAGGTAACAAGGAAGGTGGGTCCAGTTAATTATGAAGTACTCAGGACCAGACTGGTCTGCAGGAAACAGATTCATCACATTAACCTATTAAAGAAGTGGCACCCACAAGAAGGGTGGCCGATGCAGAGGAATGGGGACCTAGATGACCTAGGGGGACCAAAGATATCCCAGGGAGTGGGGGAACAGCCAAAGGTAGAAGGAACACTAAAAAGGGAACAAGAGAGGTTAAAAGAGATCATAAAAGAGTTGCAAGATGTATTCAACAAAATACCCAGAGAAGCATGAGGTACAGAACATAAGATAAAGACCCCAGAAGGCTGTGAGGTCCGCAAACAATGGAGGCGCTTACCCCGACTTCAGTGGGATGCTGTCAAGAAAGAGATAGAAGGAATGCAACAACTGGGGATAATCAAAGAGTCCTGGAGTCCTTGGAGAAGCCCACTGGTGATAGTGACAAAACCCGACTGTGAGCTAAGACTGTAGATTCTCGCAAGGTAAATGAAGTGGCAGTCTTTTATGCCTTCCCCATGCTGTGGATAGAGGACACGCTGGAAAAGATTGGCACAGCTAAATATATATCGACCAGAGATCTCACCAAGGGGTACTGGCAGATACCCATAGCAGCCAGTGATCAGAAGAAAACAGCATTTGGCACCCCATGTGGGCTATTTCACTTCAAAAGAATGCCTTTCAGACTCCATGAAGCCACAGCCTTGTTCCAACAGCTAATGGACAAAATTCTTGCACCCCATCAAAAATATGCCTCAGTATATAGATGATATTATAGTCTTCTCAGAAGAATGGGAGCAACACTGCCAACACCTGTGGGCAGTCTTTGCTGAGCTACATAGAAACAGGCTAACAGCTAACCTGAAGAAGTGTTCCCTAGAGAAAAGGGAAACCCAGTATCTGGGGTTTATAGTCAGTCAGGGCAAGATACGGGTGGTGGCAGATAAGGTAGAAGTGATCCGATTCAGCTGATTTGGCTGTGACTGAATTTCCGAATCAGATTCGGCTGAATCGATTCGGGACAGTGATCTGTATCACCAAATCGAATCACTGATCTCCGAAGTGAATTGCACAGGCACACTTTGCACAGGCCTAATGTAGGTAGATAAGAAAATAAATATTGCCTGTATTTCAATTTTCCCCAAAATTACCATTTCCTGCCCCCCCCAAATGGGAAAAAAGGTTTTTTTCCCCCCATGGCCTCAACATTTCTGGAAATTTTACATCTCTAGTTTTAATGTTTGGGAAGAGGGGGCCATGGCATCACTGCACCTACCCCCCCCATGCTTCCCAGATCCACCCCTGACTGGAATCAAACAATAGATGATGTAGGCAAGTCTCAAGGTCAGCTTCCTTCAGCACTGATATGCCACTTCCATGGGGGTGTCCATGTGTGTGATTAACATGTTAAAAAAAATACAAGAACCAATTAATTCATTAATCATACATGTTAACAGTGATTGATAGCCCTGAAAACAAAAAGCTGGGGGAAGGGGATGTGTGGAAGGGCAGAGGGGGAAGAGGATGGTGGCATGGCCAGACGCAGGATGTCACAAAGTGTGTGTGGGGGGGTGGGGGGGGAAGAGGCAGATTGAAATCCTGTCTCAAACTACACTGTTTTTCTTCAGAGAAACAGAAACTAGAAGCTTTGGGTGCTTGTACACATGATGATGTTGCCATGTACACATGACAAAAATTCCTCTTTGTGTGGCTTAACAGCATCACATTTTCATGTAGTCGAGTTTTGGGGGTTTTAAGTTAGTTATCATAGTTACAAACTAAGCCATATCCTAATGTAATTTAGTTTGTTACTGTGGAAGTCCCTATAGATTGCTCCATCTAGTGACTTCCACAGTCTATCTTGACTCTCATCTGCCATGTCTTGTTTAATTCTGATGTTATTAGTTGGGAGGTGTTACTGCCGTAGTAAGACACTGGCAATATATCTAGGTTTTTATTTATACTACATCACGATCTCTCTGGTGTCTCTCGACTGACACCCAAGATCTTATGTTATCAGTTGAGTCCGAGTCACATATGGGTTGAACAAATCTCTTTATTATTTTTATATCCACAACCGTTTCGTGGGTAGACAGACTGTGGCTATTTCAGACTGTTTTTTGATCATCCCTCTTTAAACATTTCCCACAGAACCTTGTCGTACATAATACACAACCATGTACATATAAATACTGATCTATTTCTTAGTTATTTATATACATGTCATTTTTTTTTAAACTAACAGGAAATTTTACGTTCAGGTTCTTTACTACTTCTTTGTTGAGGTCTTCTTT